TTAGTGTTCTGTCTGACGACAGGTCCGTATGAACAGGATCCTTCCATCCTTTTCTCGGACTGGGACCTGTTCATATACGTTCTTGGCAGATGATCCAGAAGTGGTTTGCCATTGCCTTCTTCTGTGTGTGAATGGAGTAATTATTGGGATGCCACGGAGAAACCGGGGAAGCCCCCGGAGGAAAACTCCGTGCTGCCTAGACCACGGCCTTGCCCAACACAACCAAGACTACTTAACGAAAAATTGTATTGAACAAAATAAATTTAAAATACTCATTCTGTTCCCTTTAACACCTTCATCTGGTGATTCAAAACCTGTTTTAAGAATGTTTTCCTGATGATACGCGAGCAGTTTAAAAAGTTGTGTCATGCCGCGGTGTTACTGTGAAATGCAGTTTGAGGTTATATAACTTGTCCCATACATCAAAGGATATAAAATAACTCGTATATTGAAGTCAAATCTTCATACTCACGGCTGTGAAAACCTCAAATCACACAACTCGTATATTATTTGGCTAAATACAGAAAATGTGACGAGGAAAATTTATTTACGAATCAAATGTTTCCAATCTCAGGTGTTGGAATGTTTTACCTAAGACGATCCGATATTGCGCACAAACTCTTTATATTTTCAACAGCAAAACTTTTCGGCGACGTAGCCAAGTTAACATCACAGCTGAAGTTGGGGATTGTGTTCCCAGATCTAAGCCAGATGAATTCAATCCGCGCTCTCGCACACACGACTGATATAAAACATTTTAATAAGCCTACTTATCTTTTATCTGTACTTGGGGTCTCAGAAATGATTTGCTCCCTTCAATCTTTTGGCTAAAATTCCGTCTGCATTTTTAACTCTCGAATATATTTTGTTATTTACAACTCATTTTTTTACCAGTTTTTGTAAATTCTCTCAAATAACAGAAGAATCTACATTGAAATAACGAGGTATTCATACGACAAACAATCATTGATCTTCGAATGTTAGATATGGAACACAGAAATGTAGGGAATGGCATGTTGGAATCTGTAGTACCACAAGTTCATATAAATTTTCAATCGCACACAAAAAATTCAATGGATTTTCCATTCTACGAAATTTCAATATCATGTGTTACTTCGAAATGTAATATTTTACATATTACCTGTCTACCGTGATATAGATTTTCATTAAACGAACACGGAATATATTATACAGAGTTCTATTTTTAAGATATATTAAAATATTTCTTTCTGTAACACGTATACCATATCCGTCAAGGTAGAGCCAAGAACCATATATTAAAATATGAATTATAAATTATATAAAAACATAAATTAATATTAATTAAAGTACATTTTAGTTTTTAGCAGAAAAGTACTTTACGTTGTGATATTAAGTGAAGTTGAGGTTTATTAATGTACTACCCTACAATCTTTTTCTGGAAACCAACATTTATCACTGTCTGTTGGGGAAACAACTTCAACTTGTGAGGGATACGTGTCGGTCAGATGAATGGGTGTGATCAATACATGTAAGGAAGACAGGGAGGGTTCACTGTTTGCAGGGAAGTGGACAGAGTTAACAACGAACGCCAACTAATCTCTCACCTGGACTAACAAGTAGTCTAACACCTACAGACCAGACATAATTAAAAACACGTAAGATGAAATTACCTTACTGACGTATGGAAATACCATCGGTAGGAACGTAATACAGAAAGAGAGAGAAAATATAATAAAATACAAAAAAATTCAATGAATGTGAAGTCTTTCCGGTTATTATTGGAGTCCTAAGAATTATAAATAAAGGAATAAAAATATCTGGAAACCATACCAGGAAAAAAAAATTCAATAGACACTCTTCATAAAACAGCTGTACTAGGAACATAGCACATTATTAGACCATTTTCCACTGTTCTGGTCTAAAACATTCAGGCCAACGTATTTAGAGCATGAAATGTCAGAATTCACCGAAAAAGAATTTTACAAACGTACACATGACAAAAAATCACACACACAAATTACTGTAGATTTGGAAAAACAAATCATAAATTCTAATTTTATACTTAAATTACAAACAAATTTTGAAAAATTAAATTTTTTTTTTCAAGATGTAAAAACAAATTATTTTCTGTTTTCCTTCTTCATCACTCATCTGCAAGAAACGACATTCATTTCTGCATAACTTAATATAAGTTTGGTGTCTGTACTGTTATCTGGTCCTGAACTACAACACTTTTTATAAACCAATGTACACCTAAATTTGAATCCAGACATTGCCTAGGTGAACAATTTACAATAACTAAACATATATACAACACACTAAAGAAAACAACGAAAAAATATAATAAGTACTATATAAACTTTATATAATAAAAAAATAATTACGGAGCTAAACACTTATCTTAGCAAAAATAACTCGAAAAAACAAAACACGTTAACTCGCCAAAAGGTAAACATGTGAGCTCGGCGTATGTCATTTGTTCAAATAACATTTATTGCCAGCCTA